GGAGTTACTCAATATTTATATCCGTGTGGCCAACAATAGAATTTGATCTTCTATGTTTAACGACACACGGGTATCTAGAATTGCTTGTACCATTATACTGTTTTTTGTTGATAGTGTAGATAGGACAGCATGATTATAGAACCTTGTGACAGCCTAGGTACAGTGTCATTGACAAAACTGCATAATTCTGCAGCTACACCATCAATGGAACAGTCGCTGAATCAGTGCATGTGGGAAAAATTAAGCTCTTGTGTAAGTAACTCAAGAAAAATAGATGTGCAGATGTAATTTTTTTCTCTTCAGACTTTGTTCTCCTTAATTTTTGTATTGTCCATTGTACTTTTCGTAAATGGCAAGTTCTTAGAAAAATAGGTAACATGAAGAAATATGTTATAAAACAGTCAGTTGAACCAAAACGTACCTACAGAAGTACACAGGTGATTCTTATTGCTTTTAATGATGACAGCTTATGCACTTCTAAAAGTAGCTCTAATTAATTAATAATTAATTAAAATATTTTACCCTGTCTCTATTTAACATATTCAAGGCAGCTTACAAAATTTTAAAAACACAAAATAAATATATAGAATATTAATGTATGAGATGCCAGAGGGACATAAAACCTGCTAAGACATCTCGAGAGAAAGGAAACATACACACACAGACTGAAACACCGATAAAAGAATGAGTAAAAAGGGTGGCTTTAGGCTGGTGCTGAAATAATGTTAGCGTAGGCACCAGGTGAATATCCTGGAGGAGAGAATCCCACAGCCTGAGAGCAAAGGCTGAGAAGGCCTGCTCCACGTAGATGTTAATCTTATCTCCACAAGCGGAGGAACATGGAGCAGAGCCTCCCCAGCTGACCTCAAACCCCAGGCAGGTTCATATGGGAGAAGACGATCCTTCAGATACCCCGACCCAACCTGTTTAGGGCTTTATAGGTCATAACCAAGACTTTAAATTGTTCCTGGAAACATACCGGAAGCCAGTGCAGCTGCTGGAGCACCAGTATAATGTGCTTTGTATAATGAGTACTAGTTAAAACTCAAGCAGCCATATTCTGGACCAACTGAAGTTTCTGAAGGCTCTTCAGAGGCAGCCCCACACAAAGCACATTGTAATAATCCAATCATGATGTAACCAGAGCATGGATCACTGTGGCCAAGTCATGCTTATTCAGGAAGGGTTGCAGCTGTTGGATCAGCTACCCAAAAGCACTCCTGGCCACTGAAGAAATGTGGTTCTCAAATGTTAAAAAAGGTTCAGGAGTGTAACCCCATCTAGAACAGGTACCATGCCACATTCCAGAACAGATGGCTTCTTGATCCATAGGACCTCAGTTTGACCTCATCCAGTCCATAACTGCCTTTGCAGCCATACCTGGTTCTGATGTCACAGGGAAATAGATTTGAATCATCTGCATATTGATGGCATCATCATCCAATACTCTTTATGACCTCTCCCAGCGGCTTCACATAGAAGTTAAACAGCATAGGGGACAAGATGGAATTTGGTGGGACACCGTAGCACAATCGCTAAGGGGTTGAATAGCAGTTCCCGAGCTCCACCTTCTGAAAGCTGACAATTAAGACTGGAACCACCGCAAAACAGTGTCTCCATACCCAGCTCCACCAGGCGTTCCCGAAGAATACCATGGTTGATGGTATCAAAAGCTGCCGAGAGGTCCAAGAGAATCAACAGGGACACAGTCCCTCTGCATATCGCCGAAGGCGGTTTCAGTTCCAAAATCTGGCCTAAAGCCAGACTGAAATGGATCTAGGTAATCCGTTTCATCCAAGAAAGCTTGGAGTTGCAATGCCACTGCGCGCTCGAGTACCTTGCCCAAGAAGGGAATATTAGCAACTGGACGATAGTTATTCAGATCACATGGGTCCAGGGAAGGCTTCTTATGGAGCGGTTTTATCACTGCCTCTGCGTATGTTCTGCACGTTGAGTACATTCTTTCATATTAAGTTCTACTTTCACCTTTTTTTGTTCTCTCATCAGAATCACAAGGAACAAACACCAATTTTAATGTGTCTGCAGATATAGCCTAAAAAATTCACAAAGGGCCACAGTTGACTGTGAATATTCCAAATCTAAAATTTTGCTTTTCATGTGTTTGGGCCCAAAATAGCTCGATTCCTATTGGAAAATGAATACCAAAGGGTTGTGAAAACCAAATAAATATTGGCAGATGTTCTCTTTCCACTGTTCACTTAGCTCTTCTCACAACAGCCATGACCAAGGAGGGATGATGTTGCAAATACTGAATCAATTCAAGCTGTTTCCTAGTTCTCTGGCCCGTGATGTACATGCAGCACGTCCGACAACCACCAGGGTTCTGGGGCAAACGGAGGGCATGGTTCTGTGCCCTTGGACGGGGTGGAGCTTGGGCAGAAGGGGCGGGACTGCGGGCAATCAGCCCTTAGCACTGCCCAGACTATGTTATGCGTCCCCAACCCCAGCCATCAGACATGCATGGAGTGGCGATGTGGTGCTTCGGTGGTTATTCAAAGGGGCCCGGGCTCTGGCTGCCATTGTTGCCATAGTAGCAGCAGTAGTAGTCAGGAGCTCTGGTTAGAGTTGCCAGATGGTTTCAACAAAAATACAGGACACACTTGACATTACATCACAACATTACATTTCTTATTTAGAAAATACTGGATATTTATATTTTCTCATTTATATTTTCTCCATTTGTTTCCTGAACAGAAAGTTCAAATACTGGACTGTCTAGTTCAAAATTGGACACCTGGCAACCTTAGCTCTGGGACTCTGAATCTCTGGGCGATTGCCCCCTTCACCTCTATCAGCAGGCCTGTATACAGTACATCAAATTATATGAACATAATAGCCCGTCCAAATCCTTAAATTCTGTGACTCTTCTGAGTCAGGAGCCATGCCGATTTACACTGCTCAGGCTTCTACCCCGAGTCTCTTACTACTGGGTATGACACTTGCAGTGTTTAACTTGAATGTGAATGAAAAACTATGTAGCACTTTAAAAACTTTAAAGTGCTACATAGTTTTTCCTTTTTTCGCAAAATCATACTAACATGTCTACCTCTATTACTATTGAATGTGAATATCAGTGTATGAAACCCTTCAAAGCAAGGGGGGAAATTTGCCTCCAGAAGAGTTATTCATTTCTTGGGGATAAGTTACTTTATTAGGAATGATTGACTATCCATGAAGGAGTTGCAATAAGTTTCCCCTTCACTTTGCTAGTGGCTTTGTATGAAAGGGGTTCCTTGTGGGATAAGCTACATCATTCAGTACTTCTGTGCACGCTTTTACATACCTGGCTGATGAGAATACCCGTGACTGTAGCAAGCTGGTGCAGTGTTCCCAGGGCTCCTCGAAGGGCTGTAGGTGATATCTCACCAACATACATTGGAACAAGTCCTGATGATAGCCCTGGACAAAGGTAGATATGAGTCACTTATTGTAAATGACAGTTCAGCAATCAGCCAAATTAGTTCTCCACAGAATGAATTGAAAAATCAATTGTGTGTGACCCTGAGCACCTCCTGTGGGGTGATGAGCTCCCTCCACACCTATTGGTCTGAATGAAGTGGAGAACATTTAGCACTTAGCAGGATCTGTTCACAGAGGTACCCATTCAGGGGAATATTTAGGCAGGTGCTTAAATTTAAACATATACATAAGTGCTATCTGGAGGAAAGAAACTTTCCTGAATCAGGACCAGATTCAAGTTCATGTTTTAGGTAAATCTGTTTCCTATAGACAGAGTCACCACTTTTCTTTTCTGGGCAACCAACTTTTGAGGTGTATTATTTCCTAACTTTTGAGTTATGATAACTTTCCTAAGTTCCCTCTTAGTCTGATGCATAGGGCAATATTCAAATGTATTGTACTTCTATATCACTAACTAGTGATAAGGAACTGATTAAGGGAGAAAATATTTTTCTCTAAGATAGCTCTTTTATTGATCTGATGTCTTTCTGTGTTTTATCTTCCAGACTACAAGCACTAAAGTTCAGGGCAGCCTTAAATGGCACCAAGCACATATGTGCTTAAAAAATAATGAATAATAATAAATTTGACCAACGCATATGGATGAGATAAAACCCGTTGATTAAGATACAACTCACTGAAGGGAGGTGAAGGAGCATCTGGTGAGTATAAAGCTCAATCCTTGCTAGGACTAGTCACAATTTTTTCAATAAAAATTTGTTATACTGGAAAAAGGTGTTTCATCAAAAATGAGAGGTAAAAAAAGATGAGGCTAAGCTCATAGAACCCTAAATTTAAAACATGTATTTTTGAAATAAAAAAAAGTTTGATTGAGAAAAAAATAATTTATAATATTTTATTGTTAGGGAAAAAAGGACATTTAGAACAAAATGAAAACTTTTGGTTTTCTTTCAAAAATGTTCACAAAGAAACCTCCCAAGATTCTGATCAGCTCTACTCCTTGTAGTTGCTGTGGAAACTAGAAACTTCTTAGCTAAATGGATAACATGGTCATAGTTTCCAGCTTTGTAATTGATGATCACTGAACCTCTTTTTGACAAAGATGATTTGTTTTTGTGGCTTGATATTTCTGATTTAATATTAATATTCTGGATAATGAAAAATGAGGCCAAATCTTCCACAGGTGTAAATCAGAATAGTTTTCTTAATGTTAATGTAGCTATGCCAATTTAAACTAGCTGGGAATCTGACCTTTGACTTTTAATTAAGTCTATCAAGCTGCCATCATTGTGAAATTGGACTTTTCTCCTGAGCATAATGGGCATTATTTGGAGTTTCATTCCCTAGTCTGGAGGCTAGGATTGTTGAGTCATAATTTATCAAATAACTAGATCGCTAATAAGTGAAAACACAGGGGTATCTGCCTGATATTTTTCTTTTTTCAGAAAGGAGTCATAACTAGAAGAAGAGCCCAGTGGGTCTCCTTGTGGAGTGTCACACTTCAAAAGGCAGCTGTAGTTTGGAGCAAATAAGCACATTAAACTGTTTTCAGGATTCAGCTAGAAATGCAACAAGGTCAGGAGGGTTTGAGGGAATTCTGAGCGCTACTAGCTAGGCAAGTTTCTTCTGCTGATTGTTTGTAAGAATAAACACTCCACGGGTGCAAAAATCTGTGCTCCCCGTATTTAATATTCTTATTATATTTAGTGATCAGAATCCTCCTTAGTCTTATGGAGCATCCAGTTCTTATTGTTAGAAATAGCTTTCACACTTGTTCTATTTTTTCTTATTTTCAGGTAACGAATTAGTAACTGATCTTATTTATTTAACTAAATGAAAAATCTGCCCATTGGTACACCATAGAGTTGTGTTTAAAATGTAATGAAAAAGGCCATGATTTGAAAAGATGGTTGCTTAAAGATAGGTTTCTAAATCTAAATAAGTGGCTTGATGTTCAAAAATGAGGAGCTCTTAATGGCTTTCATTAGAGTCTGAAGTTTGATTTTGTTTTCTAGATTTCATTGGATGGGAGCATGGTTTGAGAGGATCTCTCATATTTTCAAACACTATATTTTGATTTGAGGAAGTGGGTCTGGCCCACGAAAGCTCATCATCTAATAAACCATCTTGTTAGTCTTTAAAGTGCTACATTGTCCTGCATTTTCAAACACCACATATACCGTCTTTTCTTCTCAAAATAGAAACAAGAACACTACTTCTTCATGTTTTTCTGCCAATGTCTGACCTCTGTCACATCCAGATGTACAAATCCCAACTGCAAGAGGTTTGGATCATTTAGAAAAATGTCAGAATTTTAGAATGCTTCTCTGAACCAAACCCAAGCACAAAGCATTTGTGATTCATATACCTCACCTCCAATGACATGTGTCTTCTCTTGAGCCAACTATTGGGAAATTGTTTTCAGAGATGTAGAGCATCCTTCAAGAACCATTCAATAATGAGGATATGTCTATGAGCATCCTTCAAGAACCATTCAATAATGAGGCTCTCTTTACGCTAGCACTTTTCTCAGTCAGGGGTGTGAAAAAACATCACTTCAACCAATCACTTCAACCAACAAGAGTTTCATAGACAAAAGCATCAGTGTGGACAGTGCTATATTAGCAGAAGAACATCTCCCCCTGACATAGCTACGATCACTTCTTGGAGGTGATTTAATTATGCTGGCAGGAAAGTGCTCTCTTCCCAGCATAGAGTGCGTACATCTGCAGTGATACAGCTGTGCTCCTGTAAGGTCTGTAGTGTAGACATAGCCTTATTTCAAGCAGGTTGGTGATGAGATATTTGATAATAGGGATTGTGACATCCCCTTCATTTCCATTAGAAGGAGACTATCCAAGAATTTTACTTCTGCTCCTGTTTTCCTAAGATACTTTTACAGTAGTTAGCTTAAAGAGGAGGTTAAGGGGTGACTTAACTGCAGTCTATAGTATCTGCATGGCTCTTCAATCCTGATGCATCCCCCAGCGATATCTAAACAGACGCATCTTTTCTAAATCTTTATGTTTTCTCTTAGGATCCTCTCTAAGACAGGCATAAGGATCTTGTCCCAGAGCGACTTATACCAATGAGTCCCTCATTAGCATATTTTCTGCCGCATAAAATGTGCAGTGTAGACATAGCCGCAGTGGGAGATCTGGAGGCATCTTTTGCATTTCTTGATTTTTTCCTTTGCACTTCCATGAAATGGAAAAAGGGTGTGGAAGCAGGATGACATTTTTGTGGCAGAAATTATGCTAATGAGGGACTCATTGGCATAAGTCGCAATATCATTAACATATTTTCTGCAGGTTTTTTTTGCGCAAGGGGTTTTTGTGCAAAAAGAAGCAGTGTAGCCGCTTCCATTTTACACAAAACCCCCATTTTGCACAAGAGACTTATGCCTCTCTGGGACGGGTTTTTTTTGCACAAAATGGAAGTGGCTACACTGCTTCTTTTTGTGCAAAAATCCCTTGTGCAAAAAGAAATGGCAGAAAACATGCTAATGACATGGTAATTTATGTTAATGAGTCCCTCATTAGCATATGGTTTGACACAAAAACTTTGTGCAAAAATCCCTTGTGCAAAAAGAAATGGCAGAAAATATGCTAATGACATGGTAACTTATGTTAATGAGTCCCTCATTAGCATATGGTTTGACACAAAAACGTGTAGTGTAGACAAAGTTTGAGATGGCCCATGTGTCTTCTCTTTCCAGCAAAAAATTACATTGCTGTGATCCTCAATTATGGCCCTGATTCAGCTAAGCTTCCCTCTTCAATAAAACATTTAAGCATGTGCTTGCTTAAACGTAAGCACGTGTTTAAGTAATCTGCTGAATTGGGGCCTAACAGGAAAACAGGGGAACCACAGCCACATGAGGTCTCTGGGTTGGGTGGGAGGGAGATGGCACTGAGCTCCCGGAAAGGGGCAGGGCCTTGGGCAGAAGACAGTGAGCATGTCATGCCAGCATCACCACAACCCTCAGCACTGCCCGTAGCATGCCCCTTCCCCCAGCCCTTAGAGCTCCCAGGAGTGCACCTCTCCAATGACGATTCTAAAGTGCCCGGGGCACTGAACAATGACATTGCCATTGTTCAGAGTAGGGGTAGGGATGGTGGCTGGGAGCTCTGAGTCCTTTAGAATTGCCAGGCCCTGGGGAAATTGCTCCCCCTCCCTCTCTCCCTCCCCCAGATAGGCCTGCAGGAAAGTGATTCCTTAAATGAAAAGAGATCCCCTTCTCCTACTTCATGTGTGGCATCGTCTGTTTCCAAAGGTCTTGACATAAACATGAGGTTCCGTTTCCTGGTTAAAAAGAACAAGTCCCCTTACTCAAATTTTCTTCTTTGTTTTTTGCAGTTATGTTGGTGTGCACTAGCTTAGTACAATGGGCTCACCAGAGTAGCCCATCAGAAATATACAGAGACAAGCAAACTTACTAGACAAGATTTTAGAACGTGCCTTAACTTACCACAGTACAGCCCTGTGATTGCTCTTCCAGCTATAATAAGGATGTGAGATGGGCCAAATTTTGCCAGTCCCATGAGGAGATTTCCAGTGATAGACAGAACATTCACAGCCAGCATGGCTTTCACTCTGCAATTCGTTAAGAACAAAACTACATTGGGATAGTAAATCCAGCACTGAATACAATTACACTTTAGATATTCTGAAGTTGCAAAAGCGGCTGTATGCTTTTTGCTTAGCCCTTATTATTTATTATTACTGTTACGCATTTGGGGAGGGAGGGAGCGCTAGCTTCGCGTCTCCCTGGTCTGCTGGGGGGAAGCAGCTAGTGCGGGGTTGCCTCACCCCGTTTGTAAGTAGGGATCCGATGTAAGTCGGATCCATGTAACCTGGGGACTGCCTGTACTGCATGCTTCTGAATGGCATCAGAGTCAACTGATTATAGGGGAACCTGCACTACCCTGCCTCGGCGATGACATGGTGATGTCTATCTTGCCCAAAGTGTGGATTTCTGGCCTGTCTCAAGTCTGGTGTAACAAAGCATGCAGGCAAGGCCTGAGAGTAAGGAATTGTTTTGAGTAATAATGCAGATTAAGCATGGTACACGAGACCATGTCAAGAACACAGGACAAGTGGCCTTGTACTGGTACTTTTTTCTGATAAGCAAAAAGTACAGATGCAGCCATGAAGCTGTCAACTACTCACATAGCAGTAACATCCTGAGTAGCAGGATATACACCAAATAGGATCATTGGGCATTTTTCGTATCCTACATAATACATTATTAAAACAACCAAGTCTTGCTTTGCTATAAATTAGGTTTACTAAGAACAATCAATGGGCAGGAATGGGCAGAATTGACCCATACGTCCTGCTGCATGTAACTAGAAGTGATTAGGCCATTCACACTGGCTATGTCAGTGGTTGCGTTCCTATGCATGGGAAAAGACGGAACCACGACCTCCTGCCTGGCTCTGTAGGTAGCATACGGGTGAAGTGTAAGTGAATTAGGCTTTATTATTTTATATAGTAGATCTTTTAGTAATTGCTTTTGCATTGCTTTGCACGGTATTAAATGCTTTAGAATGTATAGTATTTAAGGTTTAAATTGTATTGTAATTGTTCTTAAGGCTTGAAAAACTTAAACAACTGCATTAACTGCTTAAAGCTTGCAATAAATAAGAAAGTGGTTAAGTATCCCTGAAGTGTACTGGTTTCCCTTGGATCTAAAAATAAATCGAACCACACGACACTGATATCTATGGGATCCGAGGCACAAAGCACTATATAGGATCTGAACTCAAGGCAGCAAGCCACCATTACAAGGGAAGGCCTGATCCACTCCTTTGCTGGATTTAATTCTGGATTATTTTGGTACTTATTTAAAACTTGCCTGCTATTCACATATATTGCTGTCTGTCAAAGAACTGTGCAAGAATGATGAGTGTCTATTTCCATGACCCCTAAATGAAGTAATATGTCTATCTTTTAGGCTTTACAGTACAAATTTAGACCAACTGTCACTGAGATAATCAAAGCTAAAGGATAAAGAATAATGATTGTGCATATTGAAAAGTGTGTGGCAGAGGTACAATCAGAGTAAGTGAATGTCTAATGAGTTATAATATATATCCTGTACAAGTTCTTTTCAAATATACTGTAGTTTCTTTTGTTATGGAGAAAAAAGGCTAGAATTAAAACTTAATAAAAGCTGTTTACCTCTTTATTGTCTGAAGTTATAAAAGCTACAAGTAACAATACAAATCTGATTTATAATTTAGGATTTCAATACACCAGATTTTACTATTTTAGAGGCAGAGTTTTGGAAAATTAATTATTTTTTTCCATGCTGGAAAAAATAATATAGAAGCTATTTCGGTGGAGGTGTGTCCATGTAAAAATTCAAATCTAGAGACTTAATAATTGGAAATGAATGGGAAAGGATTTTTTCATGGAGCGCTGTGATATCACAGAGCAATTTGGAGGCCAAAGTCTGATTTTAGTTCTAGATTAGGCTATCAGTTTGTGAAAAGTCTTAGTCACTAGATAAGATATTGGGCCAAATCCTTGACCCTTGTTCTGGCTGCATGGTGCTATACTGCAGCTCACAGCCAATTCAGATGGCTTTCTGGCTTCTATCGGAGGATTCCTTGGGCAATCTCAGCTGGCTCTCATCCCTGCTCCTCCTAACCCACAGCTTTTTAAAATAAAACTGCAGCATTTTCCAGCTATTGGTCTATTTACTGAGATAGAGTGTTTCTCACCTGCCCAGTTTATCGCCAATCCATCCAACAGTGAAAGAGGAAATCATTCCACCAACGGCAAAAATGGACACTGACAGGGACCAGTAGAGCGTGAGTATGTGGTGAGAGCTTGTGACACTCTTGCCTACATCCTGTCCTACTACAGTTGGGGAGACCATGCTTCCATTTGTGTCCGTGAAATTGTTGGCACTTCTGTCAATGGGGGCAATGCCCAGTACCCGGCTGTAATGGGCCTCTATTACCTGCAGTGAGAAAGGAATGCATCAGTTCTTCTGCTTCTAACTACCCAAGAAGCCTTCATTTCCTAATCAGGGTTTTTCTACTCTGTATCCTGTCCTACTACAGTTGGGGAGACCATGCTTCCATTTGTGTCCGTGAAATTGTTGGCACTTCTGTCAATGGGGGCAATGCCCAGTACCCGGCTGTAATGGGCCTCTATTACCTGCAGTGAGAAAGGAATGCATCAGTTCTTCTGCTTCTAACTACCCAAGAAGCCTTCATTTCCTAATCAGGGTTTTTCTACTCTGTAACTCATAAATTGGCTGGTCCCCATGGGCAGACTAAACCCAGCCCCTGGACCAGAGTAGGTGAGCCCAATCCAACTAATTAAATCAGGCTGTGCTATAGCTGGGCCTACAAATGGCAAATGTTAGCAGTAGGAGAAGGAAGAACAATTGAGGCAGGTTGAGTCCTGGAGAGAGCGTGCCATACAGCTGAGCAAATTCCTGAACTGGGTCTTGGAGCAAGGGAAGTAGCCCTACACCTGCTGCTCCAGAAAGGGAAGACGTAGAGTTGACTGAGGGGAGGAAGCTGTGAGGCGCTGGAGTGCCAGGGACCTCTGGGAGCGGTGGCCACAGAGCTGAGGGCAGAGTAAGTCAGTTTCCTGTTTGATCATTTCTGTTAAAGAAATAACCCCCTTGGCTGATACTGGGTGTGGCAGCACATGTTTTGGAGCAGGGGAGAAGCCCAGCTTGGTAACAATCTGGCTGTGTATATGTTATGGGTGAAATCCTGGCCCTGTCAGTGAGAGCTCTACCATTGACATCAGTGGGGTCCGAGTTGCAACCAGTGATCACAACTGTGTGTTTGTACCAGTTTGTGGCACTGATGTGGCAGTTTGGGGAAAACATAGTGGTGTTCACAATGAAGCTGTATTTTACCACAGAACCATCTGTCTTTCATGTCTGTATGTCCACACCTATCAGGCTTCCTGACTATGTTAGTTCTAATGCATTGAGGGGAAGAGGGAAGAGGAGGAGGAGAGAATCTGGACAGTTATCTCATAAAGCTTGGGCAGGGATAGACAGCTGGGAGGACAAAGGACACAGAGAATCTGGACAGTTATCTCATAAAGCTTGGGCAGGGAGCTGGGATAGACAGCTGGGAGGACACAGGACACTACTAGTGGGTGGCAGGGAAATCTGGGGTGTGAATTTAGAAAATCACTTGCAGCTGTCTCAGGGATTATTCTATAACCACAGTCCTATTCTTCCACTGGCTAGTTACCAGATTTCAGACTCACATTGTATGCTTTGTTGGTATTTCTAGTTTCTGGCCAAGAACTTTAAAACCTTTGCACTTTCTCTATGGAAATAATGATAATGAAAGCACTGACAAGTTAATCTTAATGGCACACAATCATGTTTATTTATTGGTTATTAGAGATAAAGTCTTGGGGGCAGAGACTTTATTTTCCTATATATATATGTACAGCACCAATCACAATCCTGGGTAGGGGCCTTGGCCACTAATACCACGTACATACTAGTTTAGGACTCAGAAGCATTGCTGCATGTCATAGCCTGTTTGGAAAGGAATCCTATATGCTGTACTTGCCCTTTGAGGAGCGTTGAGGACCCCAAGACCGTATCCATACTGGAAGAAGCCCAGCACTGCAGCGAAGACGGAGAGCACCAAGGTTCCTGTGAGGTGCTAGGAGAGGATTGCAAAACAGAAAATGGCGTCACTTCTCTGTTTCCCAGGCTCCACCTTTCTGCCATATAAACCTTGAACATATTGGACAGATTCTGCTGCCATGAAAGTCTGGGGATTTGCATGAGTATAAGTGGGGGTAGAATTTGGCCCATTCTATTATGCACTGTCTTGGTGGTGCAAAGCAACAGCCATGAAAGTCTGGGGATTTGCATGAGTATAAGTGGGAGCAGAATTTGGCCCATTCTATTATGCACTTGGTGGTGCAAAGCAACATTAACTAGCTGGGAAAGGATTTCTTCAGTGACTGTAAAGCTGTTGCAGTGGCTTCTTCATGCCACCAAGTCTTGGCCATCCTAGTGTAAGGGCATGTCTAGGAGAAGGAGTGTGTCTGACTTCTGGTGATTCCCAGCTGCCAGAATGATCCCATGGGGTCATAGGTAGCTGACGGTAGGGAAGAGAAATCCTGAGGCTTATTTAACTTATTCAAGACTGGTTGCTTGCCAGCCCGTTTCACAATGTAAAGGGCATAAGAGGGAGGGCATATTTGGGTTGATGCTAAGATAAAGACCTATGCCCAGTTTTGAGGGGGGTGGTTCTTCCAGTCAAATGTAGTTTGGAGCACTCCTGAGGTTGCTTGGAGTTGCACCAGAGAACTGTCTAGGAGAAGCTAGCCTTCAGATCAGGGGTATAGAAAGGTGGCCCACCTGCCCCATATCCACTTATGGTTTTTCCAGAGAACAAACCAATTCCAGCTAGCCTTCAGATCAGGGGTATAGAAAGGTGGCCCACCTGCCCCATATCCACTTATGGTTTTTATCCTGAAGATTTTATGCCTTTTATCATGATGTCAGAATGGCACATGCCCCATATCCACTTATGGTTTTTATCCTGAAGATTTTATGCCTTTTATCAGAATGGCACATTGTGTCCTAAGAAAAGATCTCTTGAAAATAATTCATTAAGGCAAGATCAAGTTAGCACTCACCGCTTTCATTGATGTCAAATATATCATTAAATGTAGTCATCTAGGGTTGCCAGATGGTTGAACCAAAAATACTGAACACCCCAAAATACACCCCCACCTCCCCACCAAAAATACTGAACACCCCAAAATACAACCCCCCCCTCAAAAAAACCCCCAAAACACGAGGGAAAAAATTCTGTTGAGAAAAAAAAGGGCCAGGGGGAGACCAAAGTTAAGCCCAAAAAACCAAAAATTAAATAATAAAAGAGGGGGAGACCAAAGTTGAGCCAAAAAAACCAAAAAACAAAACCCAAAATTAAATAATAAAACAGCATGGTCCCTTTCAGAGTGAGTGCAAAGTTAGAATAGAGATAGGAACAGGGCAGCGGTTGAGCACTAAGACCCATGGAAGGCATTGCTTCCCCTTGGTCTTTAGGCTTTTTGCCAGTGGCCATTTTGTATTCTTGTTCAAGCCAGAACGTAGCTGCCCTGCGGAACCAGGGAAGCAGGTAAGCAGGGGATCCGGAGCCGGGGGGGCTCGGGGTGTTGGGACCTGGGGGGAGAGGGCGGGGGAGGCCGGAAGCTGGGTGCTAGGGTTGCCAGGTGTCTGATATTTTTGCTTCCTGGCCGGGAAAAGAAAAATCAGAAAATACCGGACATTTTAGGTGTCTGGTATTTTCTGAAATTTTTTTTACCGGATAGGAAGCAAAAAAATACCGGACTGTCTGGGTCAATACCGGACACCTGGCAACCCTAAGTTCATCTCATGTCTAAAATGTGCTCTCCTAATTCCCAGTGCCTTTCCCCAGATCTCTTCCAGGGCCTGTCTACCAACTTAGAGCAGTGGGCAGAAGCATCTGCTGAGGAAAGACACAAGGGGGGCAACATCCATGTTACTACCCCCCCATACAATCCCTTGCCCAGGGAGGGCCATCCCTAGGAGCATGCAGGGCCCAGAACAACCCCCACTCTGCTCTAGGCCCCACCCCTGCTACAAGCCTTTCCCCAAGCTCCTCCCCCTTCCTGCTGTCTCCAATCCATCCTCACTCCGCCCCTTCCTCCAAGATCCCTCCCCTGAGTGACATAGCTCAGGGGAGTAGCAAAGCACCTGATTCTGGCAGCAGGGTGTGGCTGGGAACCAGGGCTGGATCACTCTGCTTCCTTCCACCACTGCAAGACTGAGTGACATAGCTCAGGGGAGTAGCAGAGCACCTGATTCTGTCAGCAGGCTGTGGCTGGGAACCAGGGCAGTGGAGCAAGTTGGGGCTGGATCACTCTGCTTCCTTCCATCACTGCCAGGGAGTGCAGGATAGCAACCCTTGTGGCCGTTGCCAGGCCCCCTGCTAATCCTCTGGCTCCTCCCCCACAGTGTGACCCTTCATGTCCCCCTGCATCCTCCCCTGGCAGTGGGTTCTCAATCTCTGCAGATTATGTCAAAGGGGTCTACAAAAGACTTTGGAAATCTATTGCAGGTATGTACAGTTGAATTCTGTGCAGTCAGTTTTCAGTCAAAGGGGCCTGCACCTTTGCTCAGCATTTTTAGGGGTCCACAAATGAAAAAAGTTTGAAAATCACTGACTTAGAGGACTCTAATCTGCTGGACTTCAACATCAGACAATGAGCTGCCTTTCCATATTATCCCATTACACATGGAGAAATATGGCTAGCTGGCTGCTCCCCTGGAAAGGTGACCTGATCTGTAAGCCACTGAGGATATACACAGCCTTCAAAAGCATCATGTCCCAAGGAGTCACTTGTGTGGATCATGTACAAGACTAGCCTGATAGTCATTTCCTATCTTTGGCAAGAAATCCTCTAGGAACAGGAACTTACGGGTGGAAAAAGACCTGCCAATAAGTGGTTCAGCGTGGAAAATAGGGACTCTGCTGATCTATACTCATGTCGAAACAGGAGATTGTAAAAGCAGCACAAATAGTGACCCTTGGTGACCAAGTTTGCTGGCTACAGGAGGACGTGAGCAGCGAGATCAGAATATCCAGCAGATTTTCAAGCAGAGGAAGTCTTGTTGCTTCCCCTGCAGATCAAATTACTCAATCTGGCCTGATCCTGCTGCCATTGAGGTAAGTGGCAAAATCCCCCTCACCCACCAACACACACTATTTTGCTGAGCACCCACAACACCATTGAAATCAGTGAGTGCTAAGGACATACTACATCATGTAGGATTGAGTGCTATAAGAGGCAGCTGTTTGTGGAGATCCCACAAGCTAGTGAGTGCCTTCTGGGAGGTGCTGAGCACCCTCAATGCCTCCTTTAGGAACTGACAGCAGACAGTATCTTTGAGGGGATGCTCCCTACCTTGCAGGACTGGGACCGAGAAGCAGAACTGCACATTGTGGGCCATAAAGCAATTGGGGTTTTCATTCTGCTCACCAGTGAGAGCAGAGACTATCCACAAAGAGATTCCTCTGCTCAGATAAATACTTCCATGGAGCAGTAATTCAAGTGCACGCTTTCATAAACCAGTTTAAGCTTTACACAGAGCTTTAGAAAGTATATGTTCAACACGATACGCTCAGTTCTTCAGTCTTTACTCAAGCTTAAATCCTGCCGAAGGCAGTTTCAGCATCAATTATGCAAAAATTGACCAAAAGAGGCACATTTTAGCAATGCTTTTCCACGTGCTGTTATATTTCTATCCCTTTCCTTTCCTTCCATCACCTTTTAAAACATTTGATAAATAGAAATAATAATTGAAAAAAATTGTAAGCAGGTCCCAAACCTGGACAGTTTCTTGCTATGAGCAATCAATAGCTCCCCAACTATTTGGTATGCATTCCCCATTTAGCAGACACTGGCACTGCGGTAAAGTTGAGTCATTTTTACCTTTTCTTCTTGCACTTTACTTGTCTTCTCCATTCTGTGGGTCTTGCAGAGGTTTGTCTAGGTGCAGTCTTTTCCCCAGCTTTGAGACTCTTCCAGACACAGGACAAGTACTTATATCTCAGGTGGAGGAGGAGGAGGGGCAATTGAAAGGAGACACAGAGGGGAGGGATAGGGGGAATGACTTGCAGTCAGGAACATGGGATTAAGCAACATGAATGTTAATGACAAACCCAAAATGTAGCAGCACTTCAACACCATTTAGAGTGGAACAACAGTAAAGAGAGACGGAGAAAGAGATCAGAAAAGATGGTGAATCAACAATTAGAGACCGAGAAAGAGCAGAAAATATGTTGAAATTTAAAATAATGGGAAATCAAGACATTTTAATTTTCCATAAGTCCAGCTTCATGAAGGGTAAAAAACATTAAACAGAGTCTGCAATGATGAGAAATTGTGTAGTATTGTGCAGCAGCGATAGTATAGGATGTCCAAACTGCTTTGGTGTATATATATATGTTCATGGTACCTGCTGTTTGGTTCTAGCAAAATTAATAGAGCCATAATCACCTTTTATGGCTTCAGTATAGTATTTGTGTATTGAATTATAATACTGCCTTGTGCCTGGCCCAGAATTTCAATAGGGAGATTGGAAAGAGACTTTTTCCAGCAGCTATAATAAAAAGGTCACTAGATGAACGGAGAGGTCACAGTAATTAATTCTTTATTTGCAAAAAAAAATAAAATCATTTAAAAAAAAGATATTTGTGTGTACACTGCTGCTTAGGTAATACAAATATAGGCCCCCCTAAAAGAGATCTATCGGCTTATCTGTACACATTCACACAAATACGTATCTACGCAAATGAATAATAATTTACCATAACATACTAATTTTTAAAACACATTATAAATAATACACAAAATTATCCTTAATGGTTTCACAATCATTCTTCGTTTAAACAAAAATCTTATAGTCAGCCTTTCAGTATCTGTTCAACAATTTGTGGTTTTCTTGTTCATGAATAATCTTTGGCTCAGGTGACTAATCAATAATGATGAGCTTTGTACTAGGTCATTAGTTTGGTCTTAATTGCTAGTTCATGATCTCCTATCCCTGCTGGACTAAATGAGCTAAACTGCTCTTTTAGTCTTGATGACTGGTGAAATCTTGATCAACAAATAAACCTGTGCAGTAACTCTGGCATCTGAGTTACTACAGAGACTGAGTAACACTTCTAAACATATTGGTCAGAACTGAGGAATTTCACATGGCTGCAGCCTACGTTGTACCTGTCCTTTGGACAGAGGACCTAAGATTCCAATGAAGTCAATCAGGCACTGTTCACATGGACATAAAATGTACTTTGTAAAGAAGAAAAAAAAATCTTTGCAGTGGGTGCAAGTAAAACTTTAACTTAAGGAGAAAAGTTCAGTCCGTTAATCTATTCCAATTGATTTTTGAGCTGTCAGAGGTTCAGCAACAAGAACTGAATGTATTGAAGTGTGTTTATTTTTGAAGGGGGGCAGGAGTTTCATCCAAACCTTTTGAATTCTCCCTCTTATTTTCAGCTTTTATTTGTTATCTTTGACAATATCCTTCCTACTTTCCATTAGAATGTGTTTGGGAAGTGGATTTTACAAACATCATTTTTTTTATATTGTTCAGCCATCAGGCAAAGTAAAATACCTACAGATAGGCTGATTCACGCGAGAACAAAATTAACAATTTTGGCAGTTTGGGTTCGATTCAACTTTGACAAGAGATGGGCCCAGACCAATACATTGAATCTAAATCAGCGATGGACAATTTGCATGTGGCCCATCAGGTTTCCATGTGTGGCCCACAAGACATTTTGTGTACTGTTGCCCACAAATATGGTTGCCAGACTCTGCTGGTTTCTGTCCACTTAGTTTTTTTCCTACTGTTATTACTAAATTGACTCACACATAAAGCAAAGGCCCATGAAGTGAGGCGTGTGCTGATTGCACACAACGTTGACAGTGAGAGCTATGCGCTTCATCCATATCCAGTGAAAGTGCTGCTATGGTTCAACTGGCACACACCACAAATTCTAGGTATGCAAACACCAGAGTTGTTGACTCGAGTCCCATGACTTGAACTCGAGTCCGCCTTAAGTCGCCTGGGTGTGACGACTTGAGACTCAGCTCAGGTTCATTGTTTGTGACTTGAGACTCAACTTTTAAATTAAGACTTGAGACTCGACTTGGGACTTGACTCGAAAGTGACTTTAGGGACTCAAGACTCAACTTGAGACTTGAACTGTAGTGACTTGAGACTCGACTTGGACTTGACAATGACGACTTGAAGACAACACCGGCAAACACAATTAGCAAAACTACCCTCTTATGGGAGACCGTCCTCGTTGTGACAATCTCATGGTTCACTGAGATGAAGGAGGCCTGTCCTGCATCCCACTGAGGTTGCCTATCTGTGACAAGGCGTGGGGCTCCGCAGACACGGAGACCCCGACTCCCCGCACTCCGCCTGCTCTCGTGGGTGCCGGGGGTTCCCTCCCCGCTGCCAAGGTGGCCACACAGGGTGACGCGGAAGCGCCTGATCAACGAGTCTCCGGGGGCCGGAGAGAGGGAGAGAGAGCCGGCCCCAAGAGGAGGCCAATCGGGACGAGACTCAAGGTGACGTCATCTCCCCGCAACAGGAGGAGGAGACAGGACCGGTGGGGGATTCAAAAGGGCCGGCCAGCCGGCCCTGGGGGAGAGCGAGTTTCTTGTGCAAGTACGGCCATTCTCGCGCAAGAATCTGCAGAGCATTCACACTCTCTGCCTGCTCTTGCACAAGGAAATTTACAGTACGGCGTGGTAAGAGAGGGCTTCTTGCGCAAGAGCTACGCTCTTTTTTAACAGGTGTAAGCTCTCTTGCGCAAGAGCTCTTGCGAAAGAGGGCTGTGTGAATGCTCGGCAGGGATTTCTTGCACAAGAAAACCCTATGGCTAAAATGGCCATCATAACTTTCTTGCGCAAGAGAGCGTCCACACTGCCATGGATGCTCTTGCGCAAAAGCGCATCTCCCACATGGCAGTGTGGACGTTTTCTTACACAAGAGTTCTTGCACAAGAACATAGTCATAGAGTTTTGCACCGTTTTAACTGAAGTCAGGTTCAAAGCACACTTTAATTAGCTGGATTCAAGTTTGTGTAAATAAGGGGATGAACAGGCTAAAATCTATTACATAGTGAGGAACTAGAACTCCTTTACACCCCAGTTAAGGAATCTAATCATGTTCAGCAAAGCATCTCATCACATGTATATGTGCCATTGTCTTCTATAGAATCCGTGTATGTGTTTAAAGTTAAGTATGTTTGTTTGTGCTTAGATGTTGTGCAGAATGGAGAGCGACTTAGGTACATACATAAATACATTGCTCAATCGAGGCCTTAGCATCGCCTTAGCCACCTTAGAGATTGCCTTGAACTTGGCCTTTCTATGGGAAAGATTCTCCAAGTGACAAGGAGATACCCCTCTGATACAAGTGACAAGATTTCATTTTAAAAAAAAAAGCTCACTGCACCATGTGCCTTGTATGAACTGCAGGATATAAACTGCAGGTGCCTACCAGCATAAAGTATGTGCTGTTGCCCCCTTAGGAAAACAGAACAGATTGCCAAGGATCAAGTCTGGGCTTTCACGTTCTTCAAATAAGTGCCAATCACTTTTAAATTAAGAAATCTATTGTCTGCATGTGAATGTGTGAGAGCTCCAAAACTTCTGACTCCATCCCTGGTGTTGAATGACTTAAACCATGCTTAGACTGCAGCTTACCTCCTAGTTACTCTCTTTTTGTATGAACATCATCTGAGTGTGTGCCAGTCTTTTGTGGAAGAGACTACAAGATTTCCCCAGTTATATTGTGTTCCTTTGTACATGCATGGGGACAATCAAGGAGATTCCATTTGGCTTGGAATTTGAACAATGGTTGAGTTAGTTCACCTTCCCCTGATAAAACAGATGGGTGTTTACTGACCAGATTAATCATTTAGCCATGAATGGCTGAATTTACTGACAGATATCTGGAGTCAGGCCCTTTTCCCTGTCCCATAAGCGCACCATAGACTCAAGGGAAAGCTCTTAGAAGTCAATGGAAAGACTCCTATTGACATCAGTGGAGTTTATCAGAACCCACACACAGAATTCCCACTGCAGAGCCATGTGTGGAGCGAGTGCAGGATCAGAATCTTAGCTAAGTGACTCTCAAACTGTATCCATAGATAATGCATCGGAAATTAACCTAATGGACCATCAGTAAGCTTTGTGTTGTTTCAACAGATGTAGAGGAAGCACATTTATCATACAGTAAATCAAGCCATGTTTTAATGCAGAGGCTTGGTGTTCACCCCACCTTTGCTGCAGACATACTCGTATTTAAACAATAGAGATACACACAACTGCCAGTGCCATTAAGATGGGGGAGCTGCAGTAGGCTGACAGAGGAACTGCACAAAATGTATGCACAGCACATTCTGCTCTTCCTTATGGAGTTAACGGCGCATGCGTTGCACTCAGGTACTCAGAGGAGAATCTGGCCCATAATGAAAAGCAGGTCAGCAACAACATTTTTAAATTTAGGACAAGATTTTTTTGTCTCACCGTGAGTTCTGTCCTTGCTCCAAGAGGGACGCCACCAGTCCCTGCCAAAAGCAGATTACTGCACCTCCCTGTAGATCTCAGCTGTACTGGCCTTAGTGGACTGCATGTTGGAGTGGGAGGAGCCAGTGGTCCTCTCTTTTGCTTGCCTCTGTTTGCTCACTCCATACTGACCTGACCTGCTCAGGAAATAGCTGCCTTGTAGCCCACTTCCTCCTCCTCAGGGCAGCAACGCAGGGAAGTAAGGGGGAGCCCTTAATTCCTAAGAATGAGCTCCTTAATTCCTATGCGGCCACATATGGCCAGTGACAATCTTGTCTTCAGGAAATAGGAGGAAATTCTCCTCTGTTACACCATGATAAATCCAGCGAAACTTCCCTGAGCTCATTGGATTCAATGGTGTCACGGAGCTCAGCGTTTGGTCACAACTACCTGGCTAAAGAATGCAACACTTGCATCACTCATTTCTCCCTCATGTTCTGACTCTCTCT